CGTCGTTATCTATGCTCCATTCTCAAGGAACACGTCAATTGTTACAGCATCGAGGTATCAATGTACGGATACAATAGAAAGGCTACCACTGAAATATTCCCGTACACCGACGAAGGATGTATCCTTTCTAGTTATACATCGATCGCTAATTCGAATGCAGAGGTCTAATTGTAGATCATCATGATGAAATATTAATATACATGTAGGAGCTTAATCAGGTATAATTACCGAACCGAAACGTGGGATTAACCGAGTAAATTCAGGTTACGGAAATCTCGACAGAAATAATTAATCGGCAGAAAGATTTGCTTTAGCGGATTGTACTTTGCCGAAACGATTCGAAACAAAGAACTCGATATAAATTCAATTCCTAATTGCTACCATTGAATCTTGACGATTGAATTAAATCATAGATTACAGAGTAGGACGTTGTCTGGCCCGTGTTTTCTTAGAATACTACAAATTAATGGGTATTATTCCTGCCGGCCTGCCTGATCAACCTTCCGCCAAAAGAACGCGTCAATCTCGGCCAAGGTATCGGGTTCTCAGAGAACCAAGAGCAAAAACCTGCAGAACACCGGCTCCTATGCATCTTGCCAGTATTCACGAGTAATTCTATTTCACGTATTCTCGCTACGTTGTTGTTCGAATGATATTTTAGAAGAGAAATTAAATTTCAATGCCGTCGCTGATCGACAGGTATTTCCAAGAGGAGACGGAGCTACCCGTGAGCGGTGGTTGCCGATCGATGAGCGGCACGCGGATGAGCCAGCTTGGGACCGGAAGTGGAAGTGGAACGGGAACGGGCGTCGGCGGGTGCAGGAACCGGAGCTACAGGTTCCGGAGCCCCGGGGCACCGATCGTCAGGGTGCAGCCCCTGTCTCGACATCCAGCCGAGCCTCGGCTCACTATTATCGATTTCAATCAGCTGACGAGGGGCGGTTTGGAGCTGGCTACCAGCAAGAACAGAGCAAAGGTCGCTCGAAAAGCCGGTAAGCCGAGAAGATAGCGATCGTCTCGACTTGGACGTCATCCCATCGGAAGCAATCGACGGTTGTAATGCTTTTCAACAAAAGCTTTCGAGCTATTTTCATCGAATTCGACTGGCCTCCTTTTCAAACGCGACTTGTGGATACGATCATAAGGGTCATTAAATTTTCACCAATACTTTCAGATGTTATTAATTGGTCCTCGTCTATCACATATTATGCACACATCTTTTTTTAAACACTAATAGATGCACATTTCAATAATAAACAACTATAAGTCAATGACTCGCAAATAGAATAAATAATTTTCAGCTAATGTATGTACTATTTTCCAATTGGAAAACCACTTGCTGAAAGATTCTCTAACATTATGAAACTATTGTACAGACTTGTATAACACTTAAGATTCATCGTTTAAAGGTAAGTTAGGATCGTTGAAAAATTGATCGTCTGGTTGATCAAAGAAAGGAAGGATAACGAGGTAACATAAGCATGTAATTTGAACGCGATACGGCGAAGACGGTATCGGTTTCGCAGGGAAGTTTCTTTACACGGTTCGCGAGAAAGCTTGACTCGGGTCAAATTGATGCATCGAGTTGTATGTATGCCCATGCCCATGCCAACAACGCGACTCACTGATTCGAACGCGCCATATCGAGCCGTAAACAGTTGATTTACAGGGTTGTTAAGCTACTTTATTCCCATGTACCCGCTATTCTCTTCGCGAACTTCCGCTAAAATACAACTCCTTTCAACCTCTTGATGATCTTTGATATTAATGACAAAAATAAACAGGTTAATTATTGAGAAGGAAAATACGTACAAAACATGCACAATTTTGTTTAACCCTTTCACTCTGAACAACTTATAAATTGTTTTGTAGAAAGAGTTAAACAAACGAAAATAAGACCCTCGAACGAAATCAAAATTCTGTCCATCGTTTCCGTGTTTTCACGTGGAACGTTAAAGTTACTTCAGTTTCATCAAAATAATAATAATATTGCTATAACAGAATTTCATTTCGTCCGAAGGTAAATCTACTAGCCAGCCCACTCTTGGTGAATCCTTCGGAGATGGAAAGAAAGGGTCAAAAAATGTCCAGAAAATAAATAAAATTGAAGGAAAATAAAGAACATTTTCAACACTTTTCTTTAAATGGACACAAAGTGACCCTCCCTTGAGCTGACCTTAAACCTCGACGTTCCTAAGGGTTTAACGAGTTCTACTTTCGCCGTCACATAATAGAAATGTCCACGTACCTGAATGCGAGAATTACGGTTTCCTAAAACTCAATCGAGCCGCGTGTACGGGGGAGGGCTTGTTGCACGCGCACCGTGATGGACAGAAGACGGCAGGTACTACGTGACCCGATGCACCTGGTCAGACACGAAGCCTAAAGACACGACGCTTAATCGCGGGTGTGCCCGTGAATCGAACATATACGACAAACGGGAACGCAGCAGACACAAAAACGTACGATTACATTCGCGATACCGTACGATATTTTCTCTCTGCGTGGACCAGATAATCAAAGGTACGTCTAGTGTACGCGCTCGATCGCGCGCGCTTCCTTTTATGTACTCCTGTATGTGTTTCTATGTGTATGCATGTGTATATGTACGGCTGTGATACGTAAAGTAGTATGTATATACCACACGGTTGTGTAAGTGTGTCGCCCGACGATTTTGTATATTACTAATACATATATGTGTGTAAATACGTGTCAATCAATCGGAACTGAAGAATGAACTAAAACGGAAAGAAATGAAACTATAGCGAAAGAAGGGAGCAGACAAGCGGCCAGTAGCTCTTCTACTCCTGGACTCGAGACGGAACTGGTCCGTGGGCCGTTCAGCTCAACACCGCCTCGTCTCTTCCCCCTCCTAAGCTCAACCACCCAGGCCAGGCACCCTCTTTCTCCCCAACCAACCCTCGCGCTCAACCCCAACTACTCGTTTCATCCCTCTCGCCTTGCTAGTATCGCACGAGCCGTCCCGGTACTACGGGGTTGGATGATACTAGGGCGGTGGTCGTTGAACCAAGTATATAGACGAGCTGTCTGCGCGTACCGACTGCGCACAAACATTCTATTCGTATGTCCTTCTATTTCTCTTCCTTTTAGGCTGCATTCAAACTGGTAGCATAAATGCTGCTAGTAGCTTCGCCTGGAGATCTTACGACGAGCTGGCTTTCTTTTACTGCTAGTCTGAACGCTGCCTTAAACTCATTCCCATCCCCTTCGCTATTTGCATTTCTCGATTTACCCTTACTTCTCCCCTCTATCACCGTTCCATTTATCTTATTATTTTCATTTCCTGTTGTTTCTATATTTTCTTTTTCCTTCAATTTGTTGCCTTTCTTATCATACCTTCTTTCTTTAACCATTCATTTTCTTTTGCTATTTCAACCCTTTTCTAGAATATCACCACCATTTTCGTGCGTTCCCTACCTCTTTCCTATTCGCGAACGCGTTCTTAGCTAAAGCTGGCGACCTCTACAAAGCCGAGTAAACACAAACGGATTGCAACTTGCCACAACCAACAACCCCTGGCAAACAATCTTTTTTCCCTATTTACTATACATTACAGTGATGGTGTCTTGCATTAAATTAAATATCCTACAGAAAGAGAATTTATGGGATGGAAAGGGATACAAATATCCTTTGTACTGATGAGCGCAAAGAAACATCCTGTGCAACGCGACGACCACCGATAATTATACATATACTTGTATATGTATGTATGTATGAAGCCGAGCAAAGCCGAATTTGGACGAAATCGTGCGATGCGAATAAGCACGACATGGGTGGAGACCGACCTCGATTACCCAGACTTAACCCCTTTTGCAAACACTTGTTATACGCGCATATATTACGAAATGTTACACCTTTTTTTAATTTGTTACAAATCAAATATTACATTTCTGTATGTACTCACCAAATGCAGCCACGTGATGCATTTCAGTTCAGACACGCTATAGATGCTTATACGTTGATGATTTTAATACTTATTTACCAATTTTTTAATTGTATGCAATCGCGATCAGGATTCTTATACTTCATCGATGAACATCATCCCCGACCTACAAAGTTTCCAATTTGAGGTTATATCGCAAAAAGTCATTGTCATTTAATGCATTATTACACTTAAAATTTACAGCTAAAATAAAATAGTACATTTCACAGTGCGTATTCGATGTAAACAATTATCAAAAGTTAAAAAAACAATTGGATTTATAAACAATGAAATACTACTGGCAATGAATTATTTGTAGTCAGTCATTTTTTCGAATATGTATAACACAATAATATAATGTTACCTTTGTTTTGAGGATGAAATATCACGTATTTTGTAGGTACGTAAGTATACAACGATGACTTCTATAAATCATGGCGAATCGCCAACGTGTTATGCCTAAAACATAAAAGAAGAAACCACTGAAACAGTGTTCAACGAAATAATGCATACCCGGAAAGAATGATTGAAAAAGTATGATAATTACTTGCTTGTCATTACGTTGTATATCTTTTATCAGAACTATACTTATTGTAAGCAAAAATAAATGTTGAAATAACTAACATTGTAGATTTCACTTATTACACGTGACAACTTGTTATACACTGCAACTGTTTCAATTTTAACCTTGCAACGCGGGAAAATCACGTTCACGCGGTGGTGCCGCCTAACGGACCTTCCCTTAAACATATTTATTAGATAAAATTTAAATTCTCTTAAAATTATATTACTATTATTGTAAGATAAATTATAATTTACCAACTGTATTGTTATACAATTTACTATGGAAAAAATGCCACGCTGTACTTTAGTAATCCAAATTTTCGTGAAAACAATTACAATTTAATGCGCTGAATTACTTTTATAACGAAATAAATGTACGAAGTAAACCTTATTTTACTTGAGTTTGCTTATAAAAAGAAAGAAATCAGATTTTTAAATGAAATTTCTTTTTCGACATAACTTGTTAAAGCGCCATCTGAGAAATATTTCTAGGTTGGTTATACATTCACAGACCACGTAATGGGTCCGTCCTCCACAGGCATCGCCATATTGTACGAGACGAACAAGAGGCGCAACCACGCCATTGTGCGCATCACGTTATTTCTTGTCTGATTTTACAAATAACAAGTAAAGTGAGTAAAAATCAAGCATGCACATAATTCGAAACAAAGCACAGATAATTTTATGGGAAATCGTATTCTAAAGAGATTAACAATATTGGGTAATGATTATTAATCAACGCCACGATGTTTCGTTCGCTTTAGCGGATCAGGATTCCATATTCAATCTTTTTCATATTGCACGGCTCTCACTTTTTTCCGAATATTCTATTATTGCCTAATTCTTTTTTATATTGATATTTATTAATCGAATCTTCGTTATTACGTTTCTTGACTATTGAATTACGTTCAAGAACTACCTAACGAATCTGTCACCTTAATTTCATACGTTCACGTAAAACTTATTGTTCTTTCTTTGAAAATGTACATTATAAATCGAAACGTAGTTATGATTAAAAAAAAAAAAATTGACATTTCAAGTGTATTTCTAAATTACATCTAACTTAATTAATATTAATAAATGTAGATATATTTAATATTTCAAATGAATTTCAATTGATTTTATGCAGCATATGATACTTTATATTATATAGGAACATATAACAGGAGGCGTTAATTTAATAAGGAATTTTTTTATTGCTCTAATTTTAAATTGGTTACTTTCACCTTTCTAAATTGCAAGATATCTGATGAATTTGTTAATTTATACTAATTAAAATCATAATTGTTTCAGAAACTAGGTAAATGAATGGACAACATGTACAGTAACAACATTGACCCTTGGGAGCCAGGTTATGGGCCCGAAAGGAGAGGGCACAACTCGGATTACGATTATCGTAACGAATACGGAAGTAGTAGATCACCGGAGTATACCGAGCACCGGGATAATGATCATCGCGACAGGGATCATCGAAGTCCTGAATATAGGAATCACCGTGGCCGAGACAGAGATCGCGAAAGGGATCGTTCGAGAGACCGAAGGGATCGTAGTAGAGACGACAGAGATCGTAGTTACAGAGACAGAGAAGATCGTTACGGAAGACAGAGAGATAGAGATTCCGTAGAAAGAGACAGAGATCGGGATCGTGATCGCGATAGAGATCGAGACCGGTCTAGGAGAGACAGAGACAGGGATAGAGATAGAGATCGTAGAGGGAAACGGGAGGAAAGAGATCGGGATCGCGATGACGATCATAGTCGAGAAAGCATGGACTTTGAGCACGACCATGGACGTACTTACGGTTCGTCCATGGAAGGCATCCACTACAAATCTCAATCTCCGAACAACACCATTATGATTCGCGGGCTTGCTCAGCATATTACAGAAAATGACGTAGGTTGTCAACTTAGCGGCCCAACATAATTTGGCCACTCGTGAACCAGCATTTGCAAGCATGCATCACTGTTATTATTATGATGTGTGTATCACAGGTGCGGCAAGACATCCTCAACTGTGGTCTCATGCCCAAGGACATCAGGCTAATACGTAAAAAGGATACAGGTAATTATCGTTATTCTCATAAATTAACTTCCCCCTAAACCTAATGTGCGAACTAGCAAAGTGCTTTTTATCTCAGCAGGTTGCATTAGATTTGAGTAGCCATAAGTTACCATTGCTTTTTTTTTTCTTTAATGATCATTTCAAAAAGATTGTTTGAAATTTTTAATGAAATGGATCATATCTAAAAATGTTAAATAATTAATAATTTCAAACAATTTTTTATCATACTGTACAAAGATCTGTGTTAGTATTATATCGGTACCAATCATGCATACCCCAAAATTCTTAATGCAGAATCATGAATACAATTGTTATCAATTGAATATAAATCATTGATATTTTATTCTTGGAATAAGGTAAGTTTCTAACAAGAATATATCTTGTTACATGGGAAGAATATTTTGAGGAAAATCAAATCATCATTATTCATCTAGAAGGATGGTGTGAAATATTTATTGAAATTTCTTAATATCATTGGAATGTAAATCTGCCAACCAATTTTGTGCAACTATGGTGACCCTATTATTTTTTTTTTTTTTCTCTCTCTCTCTCTTAATACTGTTGATATCAGCAATTAGCATAAATTGGAGGGGATGGGGATATTTTATACAATTGGGGGAAGGGGATGAAGATCAAGAGAATTTGGGTAGGTCTAACTCTTAAAGAAGTAAAATACAATTCGCGTATAAGTATCATAGAGATCAGTCGACTGTCACTCTAGTAGATATTCATTCTGCTGAGCTTTAGGCAAATGGAAATGAAAGCAAGCGACGAAGCGAAGAAAAATACTTCGTATCGAAAACTCAGTCTGTCAATGGTTGGTGCTGTGATTGCCTGCCCTCTCAGAGTAGAGACACCCAGGCAAAACGTGGATTAACTTTGGATATGTGTGTATTTGCTCTGTATAGGTGCTTCGCGAGGTTTTGCATTCGTCGAGTTTAACGCGACTCAGGAGGCCGCACGGTGGATGGAGATGAAACAGGTAGAAAGAAGTTCAGTCCAGATACCCAACAACCGATGCGTTGTACGCGTGCCACCGACGCCCCGTGGCGGCAAGGCACGGTAACGCAGCCCCTTGGCCTTCCCCATGGCCATGGCTGTGCACCTATTAAAAGGCTACTTCAATCTACCGTACCTAATTATTTATCTAGGAGTCCCCACATAATTTGCAGACTTTTCTTAACTCGCTCGCAAATTTCGTCTATTGGATTTAAAAAAAAAAAAAAAAAAAAAAGATAAGATAAGATTATTATATCGGAAAAAAAAGGCCGCGCCGCGTGCTTTTTACCTATCCTCTATCTGTCATAAAAGTTTGTGGACTAACAATGAAGATCGGAGGAGGGTCATTCCAATCGTCTTCTACGTACAATGCATATTATCCGGCATGATAGTTTTATTTCTATATAAATCACATTTTGCTATATTCGTTATAAATGCTTTTTTTCATTGTTATTATTATTATTTCAATTCTGCTTTAATACCATTTGACTTTGATGCAATGATTCATTGACTACGCATTTTTTTTTTTTTTCTTTCTTTAAAGAATGACAATTTTTTGCACGACAATTTTTTTCCTATTCACGTAAAAATTTTATATGCAAGCAGTCATTGTACGTTTGCTTGTTTTCATTATTAATTCAATACCTTGATCGAAATTTTAAAAAGAAAGAAGAGAAGAAAAAAAAAAAAACGTTCTCGCGCATGTACATATAGTCGGTCCGCAAGCCGTGTGGAATGGCCCACATTTCTAAGCCCACATTTTCTTTACTGTTCGTTCGAGACGGAAAGCTATGAAGTAGAAAACTATAATTTCGTCAACCAAGAAGGAAGTTTACGGGATAAACAGCTGCTTTGGGAGGATGTTGGACGGGATAACACTGAAATTCTCTGTTTCAGGGAGTACTGATGCTTCAGGACCAATATCGTGCATTGATGCAGTACAGTATACCGAAGGATTGCCATGTAGATAAACCACCAGCAAAAAATACACAGGATTGGCATTGCGTTAAGGTAAAGTTGTACACGAAGAATTCATTGTTCAACGGTATAAGAGATTAACTGTGATTTTATTTATTCATTAGTGTGGCGCGCATAATTTTAAGAGGCGCGAAACGTGCTTTAAATGTTCCGCCTCACGAGCAGAGAGCGAAGAAGGTGGAGAAGGCAGCGATGAAATCAGCCCTCATCCTACGAATACTGTTCTTCTTCGAGGATTGGACGTATTAACGACCGAGGATTCGGTCTTACAAGCGATGAAAAATCTTTCATCTATGCCGATACGTAGTATTCGTATCGGTCGTGATTCTCTAACAAATACGTCCAGAGGTGTTTGTTACCTAGAAATGGGTAACGTAGTTGACGCCATGTATTTACACACAGCCCTAACGAAACAGGGTTTAGTAGTGGACGGAAGGAAAGTAGAAATTACATATTGCAAACTCCACCAAATAAATAACACGAATACGTGGAAAGCAAATGACAACCAACCGCAAAGGTATACTCTAGACGATGTTGCTCAATTGGCAGAGTACAGTGCCAACTTATACGCTAAGACGCCTGCACAGAAAGCTCATTACCTTCAGTATTATACGCAATACTATCAGAATCAAATAATGCAGGGCTCTGCTATCACTCTGCCGTCTTTAAATCAAACTGATAGAGTGAACGCAGCTGCAGCTGTCGCGCAGTCTGCCATACAACAGCTACAAGCATCGAGGAAGTTGGGAGATGCCGAGGAAATGAAGAACAGACCAACACCCACCGCGCCAACTAGCACCGCGTTAGCAAGTGGAAGAGTACCTGCACATGGCAGTGATGGTAAAGTATACTGTAAGTTTTATTACTATTCAATGAAACATTTGTTTTAGTCTAGTTATACAAAATTTGTTTATAATATTGACGTATTTATTATAGCTGTACCAGACGTTAGTACCTATCACTACGACGAATCGTCCGGCTATTATTACGATCCAAGTACAGGATTGTATTACGATCCTAATTCGCAATATTATTACAACAGTCATACACAACAATTCCTTTATTGGGATGCTGAATCGTTCTCGTATCAACCGGCAAAGGTTATTGGAATTTTACACTAACCATTATTAACGCCCTAGCTAAATAATATTTCTAAAAACTTGTTCGATTTCTTTGTCTGTACAGACTGCTCCTACTGTAACACAAGCAACAGGAACTTCATCCAGTGGAACAACAATAACTGCTACCGCTAGTAGTACCGATTCAACAAACATGCCCGCTAACCAGGCAACAACTTCAGCGGTTATTACTGCGACTGCAGAAACTTCAAAGGAAGATGAAAGTAAAAAGAAAGACAGTAAACAAGATAAAGTGAAGGTAGCAAAGAAGATAGCAAAAGACATGGAACGTTGGGCGAAAACGTTAAATCAGAAGAAGGAGAACGCAAAAAGTAATTGGAATTCAGAATTCGCTGGTGGTGATGGCAATCAAGGTATCGGAAGCGGAGCTGCTGATGCTGGATATGCTATATTAGAAAAGAAATCTCTTGCTAATTCTTATCACGAGGATGAGGATCAAAGCGGAAATAATGGTCTAGTTGCTGCCTATGGTGGCGGTAGTGACACGGAAGAGGAAATAGAGGATGTGCAACAAGAGGAAAGGCAACACACAGACTGGAGTAAATTAGCATGTTTATTGTGTAAACGACAGTTTCCCAGCAAGGAAGCGTTGCTTCGACATCAGCAATTGTCTGATCTTCACAAACAAAATTTAGAAAATTGGTATCAAGTACGGGGTTTAGATCCAAACGATCCGCAACAAAGAAACAATAAATACCGAGATCGTGCTAAAGAAAGAAGAGCAAAGTATGGCGAACCAGAACCCCCTCAACCAAATAAACTTAAAGAAAAGTACCTAAAAACCAGAGTAGAAGATATATCGGTATCTTACGAAGAACCCACAAGGGCGGGTATTGGCTCGGATAATGTTGGCAATAAATTATTGCAAAAAATGGGATGGAGCGAAGGGATGGGCCTGGGTAAATCAAACCAAGGTAGAACAAGTATCATCGAAGCGGAAAGGAGAGTTCCTACGGCTGGTTTAGGAGCAAAATCGTCATCGTATAGTGCATTACCCGGAGACACCTATAAAGATTGCGTAAAAAAAATGATGTACGCACGTTATCAAGAGCTGTCTGATACATAATATATTGAGTATCATTGAAAATAGATTTTATATATACATATATGTATAAGTACTTGTACCCAATTTTTCCATAGACGAATAGGTATGTATGGGTATTACCTGAACAATATACTGGTTGCATTACTGGTAATTGAAAAGTGAGATAATTCATTCTTGGGTACACATGTACCTTGTTTTTTTTTACTATATACTTTCATGATTCTTAGGGACTAGTAAATTGAGAATGTTTTTAATTGTACATTTGTTTTCCATTTTCTCGTGTTTAAAACTACTCCTGTAATATATTTCGGATTGAAAGACGATACAATTTTTTAACCATGCGTTCCAACCACACTATACTTGTTTCTTTTATGAAATTACAATACGCACCCAAGAATGTAACACAAACACCAGTAGAAATAGTTAAAAAGAAAAAAAGTTACTACATTAAGCAATTCTCGTTTAACAGTTTCTGCACAATGTAGTACTTTTCATATTTCAGAATTGAAATACATTGAAGCATTATGAAATATTTCTGTAACAAGAGAAATCAATTGTTATATTTCATTTACATTTCATGATGCTTCTTTGACAAAAATGAATTTGTATATTCTGAGTCGATGCAACTGAATTTATCACTGGTTGCATTAGGACTACTATAATTCTGCATTAAATTTCATAATTCCTTTATGATGTAATTATGTCATATACACGTACGTATGTACGTACATACATACATATATATATATATATAGGTATATTTATACTCATACGTATGTATGTCATCTTTCTTTTTATTATGATTTATGCTGTATTTTTTTGGATATCACACATTCGTCGCTATACATACACATTTCTACAGTCATTTGTATACTTATCATTATTTTTTTAATTACACATGCAAAACCCATGTAAGAAATGAATAGATTAAAAGATAATAATAAAAAATACATGCAGCATTTATTGCTTGCAGTATACTTGTGTTCGTCTTTGGAAAATCAAAACTTCTATATATTATTTTGTATTTTTTCTTTTTTAATAGTAGAAATGGAAAAAAAAAATCAAACCTGGTATGTTTTTTATATAAGAATTTGACTATCCAAATATAATTTTCCTTTTCAAAGTAAAATTACCCGTTTACAAGGTATCTATTGTAGATTGGTTGTACAGTACCGAGTATGGTAGACCTTCCCAGGGAGAATGATAATGTAGGGAAGAGGATCTCATATAGGCCTATGCTCTCCCACCATTTACGAACGTTTATGTGAGAGAATTTAAATTTAAATTTGTTATTATTTCTTAATTATATACTAAATTTTCTGTTATTCCTAAATCACTTTTAACATTAATATCGTTAAAATTAGGATTTTAAGAAATCCTGCTTCCTCTGTATCACCATTTTCCCTGGGAAAACCTACTTTGTTCATTTTAAAATTTTCACAGATAAATCTACGACATATATTTAACTTAAAACCTTAGAATAGTTTTATATACTAGTCTTTTTGGATGATTTACAGTTTCTTTTCTTTTTATTTCATTTTTGAGGGATTCCTGGTATAATTCTATATCGGGACCACTTGTACTTACACGATTTGTTAAAATATTTTCGATGATTCGATATTTGAACTTCAGATTTATTTTACTCCAAAAGAACTTTTTTCGAATTATTCATCATTACAATATATATAAATAAGATTTTGATGGCTAAATCTTTTTCATATCTCAGTACACATACATTTATCACTATTAAAATTATTTGACTCAATGGAAACAGTAAATCAAATAAAAAATTATCTGAAATATACTAAATACATTTGTTCAATACATAAACTTATTGAAAATCAATAATTTAGTATTACTGCATGGTTTTACTGTCTTCACTGTTTAAAGCAATACATTATGTTCTATAATAATATATTTGTTCATTTCAGTCGATATAAATGCAATTACTGAAATGTATAATTGAGCACTAAATAATAAACTTAGGAATAGATTAAAAGAAGATTGACATAGTTATATTAATACTTTGATTTCTTCACATATTACTAGAGGAACAAACTACAATCTTCTATTTGTATAAAGAAGTTTTGTACTATTAAATCCGCACTTGCTTAAAAAACAAGCTTTCCTAGAATATTGCATTAATTCAGACATAAAGATAATTAGGAAATGTATTTATAATTATTTAATTGTTACTCCTGATAGATTGTGTAATAATCAATGAACAAATTATGAGTAAATATTTTGTTCTCATAATAAATATTGATACATAAGTAGCAAGCTATTTTTATTAATAGTACATGTCTCCAATTGCAGTAATCTATCATTATTTTGTAAGTATATTATGGTAATATCTTTGGTACAGTATCGTGTACCGTTTGATAGGAAATACTGAATAATTTATATTTCGTGTTTCACACCAATTTGAATGAATTAAAATCTATGTTTTACTATAAAAATGGTATCATATATGTATAAAAAGTGTGACAGCAATATTTTTTTGTTCTACTAGTACACTTATGCATAGTGGATAAAAGTTCCTAATTATATTATACCTAAATTGTTACAAAATTGAGTTTTTATGAAATTTCATTTCAATGCTCTGTAGAAATTAAAACTTCGTTATAATTACATTGCAATTAATACCTATAAACAGCCATGTTTGTTGGTAAACAATAAAGAACAAAAATATATATATATACAACGACTAAACATCTGCTAAAATCCAAGAATATAGTGGCCTTAACTGATGATTTAAAACCCTATATTCTAAGTTACTAATTCCATCTGTATCATACCTTCTAGCACTGCTCTCTAAATTCTCAAATCTAGCACTGCTTGGTGGTTCCTTCTTGTGTGTTAACATGTAGTACTGAGCAATATCAGGTCCAAAACGTGTGACCTAAAATTTAATATATAAAGTGTTATTATAATTTATAATATATCTGTAATTTATTTACCATTGATTCTTTACATACCTGAAAACCTCTTGATTGTAAACGGCTATAAAAATCATCATCTTCTCCACCCCACCCATAAAAAACATTTGAGAAACCATTAACTCTTTCAAACTGTTTACGTGTCAATGCAATTGCACCTCCAAATAAACCAGTATAAGGTAAATTATAGCGAAATGTATTCACACTTGAACTCATATGCCTAGGCATTTTTGTACAAGCATATATATTGTCAGGATTTTGAGGTATTAAGTCTATATCTTGAAAGATAAAACAATGAAAATCGTTCACTTTTGTTGCCTCCGCGTATCCAACATTGAACAGTTTCGCACGATTGAATTCACGCATCGGACTTTGTTCTATTACAAATATTCTATAATCAAGGTTTTGAGCTTGTAAGAAAGGATGAATGTAATTCATAAAAATGGCAAGCTGTGTTTGACGATTTCTATACGGTAAAATAATCGCTACATTAAAGAGAGGATGACAGTTGAGAGGTTTCCATTGTCCTCCAGGTAGTATGCCTAAGCGTCGTGCCATTGCCACTGGGTCTTCCCGCGGTTGTTCTTCAGGATATAGTAAAGGAGAAGACTTTCTGGGATTAATTGTAATCGAGCAAGAATTGTCCCTTGCCGGGTAAGACCTTTCCATTTCATCGTAAATATCTTCTGCCTTTATAAAAGTATAATGCGAAGCAAATCTAGCTGGGTGTAAACAGTAACCCAGAATCAAAATTGTAGTAACAGTATAAGACAATCCTCGTGCGTAATCATAAAAGAAGGCAACAAACATTTTCAAAATATTGCCGATGCTTCTCATTCTAACCTCTGTTCAACTGTCAATCACTATTTCATTAAGATGAATGAATTACATTTGTCTTTGAAAATATTCCATTTATTAATGTTGTAAATGACTTTGTTGCAGTTCAAGATATCATTTTTAATTTATAATTATACATTACAAGTAAAGCGATGCAAGCGTCGAGGCGAAGTCTGAATTTTGCGTTGGTAAAACAGTCAAGAGGTTAAACAGACCACAAATATAGTTCCTCATTTTTTCTTTAGGGTGCAGTTCATTCGTTTAGTATGCTCGACCGCGCAATCATTCGTATGTGAAGCGGCCTCGACGCTTGTAAAATAGACGCATACATATACACAACGTAATTCATGCGCCCGTATGACCAAGTGTGACTGCTGGTGTAAACGGTTGTGTTTGATCCTGTTAATAATTTTTCCATTTACACTAAAAAAATAGAAATATCAATGTATCTTTCTTGATAAATAAAAACGTAAAGGTGGGTTGTTGTTACTACGTAAATAACGCTGCATTATGACACTGTATTATGAAATAGTGTTCAACATTTCAAGGAAATGTTTACCAAATGTCATAGAAAGACAATTTTGGTACAAAATAATTAAATGCAATGAATGTATGGTTATTATTTGTATATTTCTAAGCAGCTTCTTATTTTGTATAAACAAATTAGATACTTATAAGTTAATTAACTTATATCAACTGAAAGGGTGCTTAAAATTTCTTGCCTCTATATGGTTATTGAAAGTTTTATTTGAAACATTTATTTTCTGCTCTGACTGTTATTAAGTTCATAAATTTAGTTTTATTGTATTTTCATTATTGTTAATTCAGAATATATTCATATACTGTTACTTATAAATCAATAATGATGACTAAGAGGTTATGAAACAGTAATGTCTCTGATATGCATATATGCAATTAATGTATCAAGTGAAACTTTGCAAAACATGTATTTCAAATTATTTTTGTGTTATGACATTAACATCTTTGTAATAGATGTCAGGTGAAGAATATGACACTGAAATGGATTACTCTGACTCAGACTGCGGAGATCCAGGCTATGAAGACTATTATAATGTTCATCCATGGGATGGTGAAGGTGATAATGATATAGAGTCTGATCAAAACAGGAGAGATCCAGAATACGCTGTATATGATTGTTTAAGAATTGAAGAAGTGGAGAGACTTTTAAATGAAGATGTAGAAGTGTTAAGTAATAGTCTTCACATAACACCATCCTTAGCCAAAGTTTTATTACACGCGCACAATTGGGCATTACAAGATATTGTCACCAAGTACCGTACCAATGCTTCCAGTTTGTTAATTAATTCAAAAATAAAACCATTATCTCTATTGGATTCAGTGCCCGGGGTGAAAAGTCAAAGAGGTGGATTGTGTTCAGTTTGTGTTACAATTTATTCTGTTGATAAATTTGCTACATTAACATGTGGACATTCTTTCTGCAAAGACTGTTGGTGTATGCATTTTGAAGTACAAATAACTCAAGGTATTTCTACAGGTATGCCTATTGATACATCTGGAAGTATAAATGCAATTAGTACTTTTCTAACATTAATAAAATGTTTTAATTTGAACTTATCTAATTTAGGAATAAGCTGTATGGCACAGGATTGTAATGTCCTTGCTCCAGAAGACTTTGTTTTATCTTTACTTACTAAGCCTAACATGAGGGAAAGGTATCAACAATTTGCTTTTTGTGATTATGTGAAATCTCATCCACAATTAAGATTCTGTCCAGGCCCCAATTGCCAAATGGTTATGCACTCAAAGGAACAACGAGCAAAAAGAGTGATGTGTTCATCATGTAAAAGTATATTTTGGTATGCATTCATAATTTGATCATACTTATAAAATTTTCATATTACTTTAATTAAAAATTATAACACTTTCAGTTTTCGATGTGGTACCGATTACCACGCACCTACTGATTGTAATACCATTAAGAAGTGGCTGATAAAATGTGCAGATGATTCAGAAACAGCTAATTACATTAGTGCTCATACCAAAGATGTTGGTTTCACTGAAATCTTACTTCTTTCTATGTTAATATGTGGATAATAAACAAATTTTAATTTACAGTGCCCGAAATGTCATATTTGCATAGAAAAAAATGGTGGTTGCAATCACATGCAATGTTATAATTGTAAGTATGATTTTTGTTGGATATGCCTCGGAGATTGGAGAACACACGGAAGTGAATATTACGAATGTTCACGTTATAAGGAAAATCCTAACATCGCTCATGAGAGTGTTTTAGCACAAGCGCGAGAAGCTCTTAAAAAATATCTTCATTATTATGAAAGGGTAAAGTTATTCCATTTAAGACTTAATTTACTTATACGCATGTAATCTGAATATGTTATAATTTACTTCTTCCAGTGGGAAAATCATAGTAAATCGTTAAAATTGGAAGAGCAAACTCTCGAAGCAATAAAGATGCGGATAAATAAAAAAGTGATGAATTCTAGTGGAACCTGGATTGATTGGCAACATTTATTTGCAGCTGCGTCGCTTTTAGCACGCTGTCGTTACACTTTACAATACACGTATCCTTACGCTTACTATATGGAACCTGGACCGCGTAAAGAATTGGTAACGTTTCATTTAAAAACTCTGACATCTTTGTTCATCATTGTTTCACAATACAAACATGTAATGTATTTGTATTTTGAAGTTTGAATATCAACAAGCTCAACTGGAAGCTGAAATAGAAAATCTCTCTTGGAAAATTGAACATGCAGAAACAACAGATCGTGGAGATCTGGAGAACCAAATGGACATCGCTGAAAAGCGTCGCGTTACATTGCTAAAGGACTTCCTTGAGGTATAAGAACCAAATAAACAAAAATTCTATCATTCAGTCGTTGAAATCTTTTTTACAGTCAGGCCAAACTTACGAAGCAGCTATAGCTTAGATTCCCAAGAGGTAATATTTTCTACATGGTACATACACGTTAATTATTTTCCGTTAAGGAAAGTTCGAAACAGTGTAGAATGCTTTCGGTTGACATTGTTTTAGAGAAGTAGAAAGATGAAATTTATAAGATTATATGTTTAGTTATGATTAATTTTAGGTTACTGAAATAATTTCAGTCGTATCTCCTGAATTAAATTATTTTTAAATGGTACATTTTACCGAGTAACAATTCTTGTTTATTTCCACTAAAAGAAGTCAAATTTAGAGAGAAGAAAAATAAAACCTCTATATTCCCGATGCTTTAAATGAGCTTCAATCGGTTGAACTGTTTATGTAATTGTACATAAACGAAGAATTATGTAGGTACATTAATAGGAGAAAGAATATCAGTAAGAAAAAAAGAATAGGAAAGTATTAATTGTATTGACTGATTGTTAAAATTTGAAATAGAATGTATATTAATTTCTTAGTCTAAGAATATTTCCATGAATATTATATAATTACAATGCTTTCTCCAAAATTTATGTTTAAGAACTATTTTTATTGATGCTTATCGCAAAATCCAGAGATAATACAATAAGAAATAACTTATCAAATGACTTTAAATGTAACATTTGTTTAATCTCTTTCCAATTATTGTTACTATGAAGAAAAATATTTTAGTATCAATGATCGACTAAATAAAAAGAAATCAGGTAGCCTAACGAATAATTGAGTGTCGATAAATGGCACCTTCCGCCGTGTAAATATTGTAGTAATGTAAAAGAATGTGACATTTTCTATAATTAGGTATAAGGTGCATGCAACGATCAAAGACATTCACAGAAACCTAGCCATAACTGAACTTACATTTTTTTCAACTATTTATACACGATACATTAGACTATATAGATAATTTTCTGCGAAATAATGATTGTCTAAATCATGTTTAAAGATAACGATCATTATATAAAAGAAATGTAACAACTACTATGTCACTGACTGAGAGAAATAAATTTTATTGCATCGATGATATATTTTCGAAAATGTCATGTGCAAAAAACATACAATGTATCATTACTAAATGTACCAAATTTAAAAAATTTAGCTTACAGTTACCATCGTGTATTTTATAAAAAAGTTTCGAGAATTTCTGTTTACCCTGTAAGTCCATTTTCCCTAGGGAAAATCACTTTACATTTAGGATGTAGAAATAAATTTGATCAAACTACTGTCATTTTAACGCAATATTGTAATATGTCATTGCATACTTGTAGCGCAAGATTGCACATGCAACTTTTTTAAATTTCAAAATGGCGCGTTCGATTGATTGGTACGGTTAGAGAAGCAGACTGTAGACTTATAGTGCAATTACGATGTATGTATATACATGTATACATGAAAATATCAAAGTATCGATGGATGAGCGAGGAAAGCGCTACTCCCCTCCGGAAACTAATAGGGAAAAGTAGATCGTCTGACGAACGAAGTTCAGTCAGCACGGAGAAAACATTCGGCAAGTAGAGTAATTGTGCTGCCCCGTATGACAGACGGGGCTGTCATATTTTATCAAAGCATATCTTTATCCACGAAACCTTCAAAGACATTAGCGCAACAATGGCGATGGGCAAAGGGTTTCGCGTTTACGAAAAGTTGAAACCATCTCGTCATTCTTTAATACTAGAACAGCGAAATCGAAAGGAGACTGTTCTCTTTGAGTCACAAGCTGTCGCTGTTCTTTGTAAGTATTTTATCATTATTAATAATAATGTATTATTACGTTTTCTTGATCCTTAATCTTCATCTTTTTCTTCCTCTAAAAAGTACGAACCGGTATTTACAATACTAAATAAGCCTTTTAGTTCTGTTTGACAATTTCTTTTTAATATTGTTATATATAATTATAAATATTTCTTTTCAGCTGCTGAAGAAACTGACAGCTTAAAAGGGAAATATACAAAATTGTTAGATGCATATGGGTGCTTAGGTGTTTTGCAGTTAAATGCAGGAGAAAATACCCTTCTGTATCTTGTTCTTGTCACTGGATGTTTCTCAGTTGGTAAAGTAGGAGAATCAGAAATATTTAGGATTACTCAAACGCATTTTGTACCGCTTCATTATGCACAAGGCCACGAGGATCGTGTATCTGAAGTTAGGAAAGTTCTTAATTCTGGTACATTTTATTTCTCTTGGTCTGCTGGATCTCAAGAGTCTCTTGATATTACCCTTAGTGCACAGAGGCGATGTAAATCCACAACAACTGATAACAGATTTTTCTGGTTAGTTTCACATATGCAGTATGTAATCTTTAGGGCAGGACACAAATGTTATAATTATTTTATTATGAAACAAATAGGAATCGAATGTTACACATACATTTATTGAGATTTGGAGTTGATACATCTCATTGGTTACTTAAAGCAATGTGTGGTAGTGTAGAAATTCGAACTGTATATGTTGGTCATAGACAGGCTCGAGCTGTTCTTATATCCAGACTAAGTTGTGAACGTGCAGGCACCAGGTATTTACTGTTTATTTTTAAAAAAAGCAAACATTACTCATATTTTTTCACAATGTTGAACTTATTATTCTTATCAAATTTTATCATTCATGGTAATACAGTACTACATGATAACTTCAAATTAATCATTTAGAACACATGCCAGCATTTCACATGAACATTTTATTCTTTGTCTAGGTTTAATGTCAGAGGGACTAATGATGATGGTCATGTAGCAAATTTTGTAGAAACAGAACAAGTAATATATTTAGATAATGAAGTAACTTCTTATGTACAAACTAGAGGATCAGTTCCTTTATTCTGGGAACAACCTGGTATCCAAGTTGGTTCTCATAAAGTTAAAATTTCTCGTGGTTTTGAAGCTTCTGGACCAGCATTTGACAGACATTTAAAGATGATCAAAGAGAGATACGGGCAGCAAGTAATTGTCAATCTCCTTGGTTCTAGTCTGATTGGTAGTAAAGAAGGAGAAGCAATGCTAAGTCAATTATTTCAAACTCATCATAAAATGTCAGAGCATAATGATGTGCCTCACATTCCGTTTGACTATCATCAAGAATGTAGAGGTGGAAATATGAAAAATCTTTCGAAACTAAAGGCAAAAGTAGAAATGTATTTAGAATCTTTTTCACTATTTTATGCTGTTGGTAATACCGTCATTCACGAACAAAATGGAACTATTAGAACAAATTGTCTTGATTGTTTAGACAGAACTAATTGCGTACAAACGTTCTTTGCTTTGGAAATACTTGGTAAGCAACTTGGATTGTTGAAGTTGCTTGAGAAGCAACAGATGGTTTCAAGATTTGAGGAAGTATTTAGACAAATGTGGATCAATAATGGTAATGAAGTAAGCAAAATATATGCTGGTACTGGAGCAATTCAAGGAAGTTCGAAATTAATGGACGGTGCTAGATCTGCGGCTAGAACAATACAAAATAATTTATTAGACTCCAGTAAGCAAGAAGCTATTGATATTTTGCTATTGGGATCAACTTTGAACACAGAATTGGCCGATAGAGCTCGATTACTTTTGCCTTCTAATATGTTACATGCTCCGCCAAGTGTTTTGAGAGAAATGTGTAAAAGGTATAACGAATATGTAATTACAATGAATCTTAGAGTAAGCGTGGGTACTTACAACGTTAATGGAGGAAAGCATTTTCGAAGTGTCGGGTACAAAGACTTATCCCTTTCGGATTGGTTATTAGATGCTCCAAGAAAATCGTCATGTAAGTACAATTTAAGCATATCATTTTTTCAATATTCATAAAGTTATTCTTTATTAGTTGATGTCTTCTTTTACAGCCTTAGTATCAGTTGAATACGACAATGTTCCTGTAGATATATTTGCAATAGGATTTGAAGAAATTGTTGATTTAAACGCTAGTAATATAATGGCTGCTAGTACTGATAATGTAAAAGCGTGGGCAGAGCAATTACAGAAAGCACTTTCCCGAGATACTGAATATGTTTTAGTCACATATCAACAATTAGTCGGTGTTTGTCTTTATTTATTTATACGACCTATGCATGCACCTTACTTAAGGGATGTAGCTGTAGACTGTGTTAAAACTGGATTAGGAGGTGCAACAGGTAATAAAGGAGCTGCAGCTATTAGATGTGTATTATATTCAACGTCGTTTTGTTTCGTTTGTGCACACTTTGCTGCTGGCCAGTCTCAGGTTAACGAGCGTAATGCGGATTACGCTGAAATTACGCGAAAAATTACCTTCCCCATGGGAAGAACATTAAATACTCACGATTATGTATTTTGGTGTGGAGATTTTAATTACAGAGTTGATATGGATAAAGATGAAATGAAAGAGATGATTAAAAGAAATGAACTTGATCAAATACTACAGTACGATCAATTGAAGGTAAATATCCTAAGTGTATAAAATAAATATTATATGTAAATTGATATATTTTTAATTCAGGTTCAACAAGAACAAGGGAATGTTTTTAAAAATTTTTTGGAAGGTTCTATTACTTTCCCTCCAACGTATAAATACGATGTCTTTTCGGACGATTATGATACGAGCGAAAAGTGTCGTCAACCTGCATGGACAGATAGAGTGCTATGGAAACGTAGAAAACAAGTACCTGATATCGGTTAGTTACACGGTTGTAAATAATCTTGATCTCTTTTTTTTTTTACTTACTCTTTTTAAATTTATAAATGACTAATCATTTTAGATTCACCTACAGATTGGAATCCAGGAAAATTAATTCATTATGGTAGAGCGGAACTGAAACAGAGCGATCACCGACCGGTTATTGCAATCATCGACGTAGATGTTCATTGCGTTGATCCTGAAAAACGAGAACAGGTATTCAAAGAGGTAATTCAAGACTTAGGTCCACCGGATGGTACCATAGTAGTAAAAGCAATGGAAGAATCAGATGACATGGACGACATCTTGCATGCTCTGCTGGAAGATTTCTCTCATATCGGTGAAGCGATCCTCGTCAGATTTGTCGGTGAAACTATTTGGATAACGTTTAGAGATGGCCAGTGTGCTTTATCAGCAGCAAAGAAAGGCATGACTCAAGTGTGCGGTCAAACTTTGAAATTATCCTTAAAATCACCAAACTGGGTGCAGCTAATTGAAAAAGAAATAGAGCTTTGTAGCAACACCACTATTGCACAGTTTACTTCGGATTCTCCGATAAGAAGTCCTGTGCAAAGATTAGAACAGTTAGACATAACGGAACGACCATCTCCTAGTAGAGGAAGTCCAAACGGCGTAACTCCACCACCTCGACCTGCACCTCCAGGTCGACCATCTCAACCACCTAGAAGTCCACTGCAAGATCGAAAACAAGGACCACGCGCTGGTGTATTCAGTGTATTGCCTAATCAGTTTTCAGCGCCGTTACCCAGAGAAACAGTGGAATCCGAACAAAGTGAAAGGCTATCTCCAGAATCTGCAATCTATGAAGAGATATTGGATGGATCTCCTAGTTACCCCATACCAAACCGTCCTCCTCCACCTTTACCTCGTACAGATCCTTCGCAAGAATCGTCTAGTAGACCACCCAATACCATACCTCCGCCATTACCGCAAAGACAAGCTCCTCCTCCACCTCAACATCCTCCACCTAGTTTACCTGCACCGAATGCTCCACCACCCATTCCAGCAAGAACATCAGGCGGACCACCTATTCCAGCTAGAAATCCACATTAAATTGTGGCGTATGTCATTCCATTTGTAAGTGAAATCACTAGACGTTACTGTGTAGCTAATTATTTATAAATATCAATAGAAATTAAATGTAAAATACATAGATTGCTTCCACACAACGTTGAACAACTGTGTAGCTTATCATAAACTTTAAATCTATTTCTGTGATTAGTCAAAACTTCGTTCTCATGCACTATAAGAATGTATGCTTACTGTCATGCACTTTCCTACATCGTATATAATCAAGTTTGCTAAATACCTCAAAGATTTCATTATACGGATGTAATAGAAAATAAGCAGAGTTACAAACCTGATATATAGTGTAAAGGGTTCTTGATAATTGTTGAAATGAATGGAATAATTATGTTAATGAAATCTATGCTGTTGAAAATATCGTATGAAGAGTTCTTGAAAAATGTATAATGTCTACACCTAGAAAAGATTATTACTGTTATAATTCCATATTTCAAACTACTTTCATGACAGATCAGTTTATTTTCAACATTAAAATTGTTTATTGGCCCTGTGTAGTTCTTGTTATATTTAAACAAAAATATATATGGTTGACATGATTTTTGAGAGTTGGAAGAAAATGATTTATATATGCTACTATAATGCTAAGAAAAATGTTAGTCTCAAAATCAGTATTCTTACAAAATGTTTTCCATATAAGTATATATATTCCTTTTTAAGTTAACAATAAGGTGACAAATGATAACAAATGTAAGTTACTCTTATAATAGTATAAATAAATTAATCAGTAAACTTCCAATTTTAAACACTCTCAGATAGAATAAAACATTACGATATATATTTTGTAGCTTCATGTATTGTATTATTGTACATATACATATAACATAAAGCATCAATGCAAGATACAAGTAAAATGAGATTCTATGTTTACACAACGAAAAAAACATTTTTAATTATTTTTCACAATTCGATATAAGTACTTGATATGTGAGCGCTTTTTACTTCTAAAAATGTTTCTCTTCTAAAGATACAATTTTACGAAACAAAAAAATTCGGTTTCAATACATACAAAGTCTTATATTTTAAAACCTAAACATGAATTCAGGAATTTTTGTAATTGAATCGTGTATTTAATTTAAAAAGAATGTAAATAGAAATGGCTTTAGTAAAGAAAAAAGTTTTCCAAGTGTACCAAACGTACTTTAATTTAATTTATTAAAATATTGCTTTATATTTCACAACACGAAGCACAGAATTTTAAAAAAATATTTAATCTTATAAAATTTCTTTTTATTTATTTATTTTAGTATTATACTGAAATTGATTTCTCAATTTGTAAGTAATTCTAATATTGTCATTTGTTTTGCAGGTAGAACAATAACAGGTCTTTAAATATTATTTAATAATACGTGTAAAAATGTTATGCAAAAATTTGTATCAAATCTAATTTGTATAAATATCTGTTGTAAACACAGAGAGCTGTGTCTGTCATTGGAATACGAACATTTACGAGGAAAAAAATTTGTGTCTTCGAGCACAATTATGGAAATATACTTCCATTTAGCATAAACATAGTTCATTCCGTGAATAAATTATATACAAAAATATATCACTAAATTATTAGCTAATTAGTTTTTGATTAATATACTACAGTTAGCAGAAACCAGATTTTTTTTTCATTTGTAAATAGTATCTGCCTTTATTATCAAAAACGTGATATATAAATCTTAAGTTTTGTAATTTTGTAATGTTCCATTTGCATATCAGTTGCTGTATAAAACAGTATAAAATAAGTTAAAAATTAGTCAAAATGTTACGAAGTTTTCAGTAGAAAAAAAAATACGAATTCTAGCAAATTATTCCATAATACTAAACCAAAATATTGTAATGGTCAATAAAATGCCAAAGTGAAAACACTGAGTAAATGGAATACACGTTGATATACAGAATATATCTGTTTTAAAAAATGTTTGTTCAGTCTCATGTATATCCTTTGTGCATTTACATACAGGCTTATAAATCTTAGACGTCAATCTACTGTTCTTTTTTTTTTCTTCAATTCAATAGAGTATTGGAATGTTTAACTTAATAAACCACAATTGCTCAAGTTGTTTTTGATGATAACATCAGTTACAGCATCAAAAACAAATTGTATATTAGATGTGTCTGTGGCACATGTAAAATGTGTATAAATTTGTTTCTGATCTTTCCTTTTGTTCAAATTCTCGAATTTCATTTGAATGTAAGAAGCACATTCTTCATATGTGTTGGCACCTTTATACTCTGGGAAACAAATAGTTAAGGGGCTCCTGGTGATCTTCTCTTCGAAAAGATCTTTTTTGTTTAGAAATAAAATAATCGACGTTTCAACGAACCATTTGCTATTGCAGATGGAATCAAATAGTTTCATTGATTCTATCATTCTGTTCATTTCTTCATCTTCTGCAAGAACTAAGTCATAGCCACTTAGCGCAACACAAAATATAATGGCAGTAACACCTTCAAAACAGTGTATCCACTTTTTTCTCTCTGATCTTTGACCACCAACATCAAACATTCTGGTAGAATAGAAAAAATTTTTTAGTATGATACAATCATAAAATTATTAAATCTGCTTTAAAAATAACTTACTTAAAGTGTAGGCCCTTAAATGAAAAATGTGTTTCTACTATTCCTGTAGTTTTTACACGTGTTCTGAGAACATCTTGCTGGGTAGGAATGTAATTAGGTTGTGCTATGCGATCTAAAGCATTAAGGTAGTATGCTGCTGAGTCATTCAGCTGGTATTCTCTACTACGTGTGAAACAAAGCTGTACTCCTGCATCCTGCCATAATCGTTTCATTAATAACACCAGTTCCCCAGTTAACTCACCCTCTTCTGCTGCTGAAGCTAGGGTAAAGAATTGGCGTGCTATATCCTACAACATAATTAGGTCTTACTAATACTGATAAACCATTGTATATGATGTAACAGTATATCAAATAATTTACATTAAAATTCATATATTTACCGCTTTATTAGGGTCTGCAAAATCAATTCTAAGCTGTCCCATGGCTCTAATTATTGCCATAAGACTCTGTATCGTGTTACTGTACACTACAGGTTTATATTGTTCACATTCTTCTTTGCTATAGCCAGTTTCATGGATAATTTTCATTTGTTTTACTATAGTGGATTTTCCAGATTCTCCCGCTCCTTAAAATATGAACATTTTTTTTTTAATTAATAAAAATAATAAGGCTATGTACAAATACAGGTGTGCGAGCGATTATTCAGTACATTATCTAATGATTCATTCGAGACGATGATTCAAGTTTTCGGAAAATTGCCCGCGCTACACTTCCGCGATTGCGCGAATTCGATAATTGATTAGGGCACACGGGGGAGGGGGAGATCGTTCAAAATAAAAATTGAACGACAGAAAAAAGAATGCTACCGAAGAAAAATAAAAAGATCTTGAAGAAAAAGAAAAACCCGTTTTCTCGGTAGTTGAGCTCCCTTGGTGCAATGATCTACTTTTCCAAACGAACCAAGATAATAATCTCGAGGAGACATCATCTTCGAGGAAACGAGTACTTTACGAATGGTATTGCCACCAAAAAAAAAAACAAAAAACAGTGGAATAACAATGAAACGATTCTCTGAAGAGAAAGCATGTCAACAAAAAGAAAACGAGAAGAAATTACCGAGCAGGAGGAGCTTGACCTCACTGGCGGCCCGCTCGCCATCGGCTCTGAGATCCTTGTCGATCTTCTTAGACCTCTCTGCGGCTTCTTTCTCACCGGTGGTGCTTACCGCGCAGCCCATCCTCGCCGGTAGTCCTCTCTATTCACCGATGAAACAACGAACACCATGCACAGCGTCTGTATGGAAATCTCTTCGAAACAGTCAGTTTATTCGCCGCGCTGTCGTGTATGACACTTGTTGCACGGACGTGTGGGAACCGCCCGCACGCGGTTGCGCTCGCATACACGCACCGATCGAATATACCACCCGCTCACACTGGCTTTCGTTGTTCCCCTGATTTACGTATTATCGTTCGATACGTGCATACACGTGATCTATTTCACAAGATCGCCTACTGCTTCTCATCAAAAACGATGACAATGGACCAAAACTGCACGAGCCCTTGATACCGGCACGACCACTTCACTTGCGACCTGTATGCGCTCCTCCTCGGTGTGCAGGACCCATCCAGGGATTCGTGGAGATCTCTCGATCACGATTACGGGGCCAATCCATGCGAAGATTCTGGGTCCTTTTTGGCCAATAGAAATACGACGTCAACTGCATTCGTTTGGATTCCTTGCGCCATCTAATGTACGTAAAACGCAGCCGAAGATCGGCTGGAAAATTTGATGATGATCTTATAGTTTGTTGCGATCGATGACCATCCACCGTTCCATTTCGGGGCCCACAGGCCCCGACTCGTATTGCAACTCTTTATGTAGATAAATATACTTATGCACCTACAATGGATATACTGAATAACAGCGGTTGGTAATGCATCTTTCTTTAAATAAATATTTACTTAGATATCCTTATCTTTTATATTACATCATAGATTAAAAGAGTATGTAACATCACTTTGTAGATAGAATGATATTATTTTAAAAATGTAACACGAATTAAAGGATGTAGCGAGCGGTAGGAGTTTTATTTTAACTATAAAACACGATACATTCGAACGACGCGACGCAACGTTGCAAATTCTTTACAGAAAAGAAATGGTAGTATGTGGAATTGTACCCAGGCCTTGATCTAATTTCATCCAATTGCCTGGCCCATTGGGTAGGTCTATTTATAAATTCCATTAATAACAGTCAGATCTAATCATGATCGTTCCAGCCTTTCTCTGGACTTGATAATTTTCGAATTTCTGCGAACCCTCCACAACAGGGTTCTCCTAACTTCTCCCTATCAATTTGGTTGAACGACGCGTCCTGATTAATCGCCCTTTTCGTTTCGAGCTTTCCAAGGAAAATGATTCAGGAAGGAGCGGAACGATGAGAAAGGGAGGACAAGGACTGCTTAGGGTGCAAAAACAAGTTTTAAAAACCCACCAAACCTGTATAGCACTTAATTTCTATTCTTTGACGGAGGGCCGTGAGAGGAAGTGTGCACCTTAGAACTTATTGAATATGCAAGCGCAATCGCACCGCAACATTCGTCGACCAATTTTTAAATAAGCAAAATATATTCTGTAATTAAGCATTAGAGGAGAAGGTGCGAATATGAGGTAGGGTAGAAATATGAGGTACTCGATTCTTAGCAAGACTGTCTTATATTACTACCACATTTTTAAATTTATTATTAAATAATAAAATAAACATATTGTAGGAGACAACAGACGCCTATAACCCAGCTTTTTGGAACTCATGCCGGGGGACCGCCAGCGAGAACAGACTCAATCCCGCTGCCACCTAAAGGTCGCCGACCCGAGCTATGGGTGCCCGCGGATTGCAAAGGCGAATTGTGAATTTAATGCCTATAAGTATAAATATTACGACTGAAAATAATATTCTTATCGTTCATACTGTTCCATAAATATTTGTATCATTCCATTTCCGCTTTGGATTGATTCGAATCTCGATAATAGTCGTTACTTGTTTACGTTTGATATTTATACACGTAGATGTTTGTATATGTAATCAATGACCTGTAATTGCCATTCTAAATCAATTACAGTTTAGATCAGTGAACGGATGTATCAGTCTTAGATCATTAGGGGATCATGGAGTGGTTACGAATTCTGGTATGTCTGTACATTAATGTATCTAAATTCCATTATAAAGAACACAAAATATTAAATATTATTTATTTATTATCTTAGCTTGTCTTCGGTTCCTCCGCTTTCGTCTTAGCGCATTTTTCGATGGATGATTATTTGGATGAGAGATTGAAGCAGACGAAAATTGAAATAGCTAAACTCTACTTTCGTAATGAACCATCAGGTAAAAAGAAATAAAAAGTGATCAATAGATAAAAAAAAATTCAAAATTATTTTATTCTAGTTCAAAGAAAGGTGTACAATGTAAAATGGGATAAATCGTGGCAGCAGGATATAGGTAAAAAACGGCCATTTACAGTGAAAGCATTCAACAAAGTTCTCTTGATCGAAGAAAATCATGTCCTTACATTGTCTTTCGATGAACCTCCGTCGAACCAGACTTTGCCTCAAGAAATAATTTCAACTCGTAACGATAAATCTATAAAATTTGTCAGAGTATGCAAAATAGTACTGTAATTCATTAACCCTTTGCAGTTTAATGTTGTTTATCCAATTTTTAATTAGACTGCAAAGGGTTAAATAAACTTTCCATCGGCTCGTTTATACAATCTTAATTAACACCTGACAGAGCATCGTCTGGAAGAGCGTGCTTTATCTCTTAATTTGCTACGAAACTGGATCATGCAGCTTGTACACGGGAACGGATAATCTGCAGCTAACAATACGACATCGACAGTCGATTCAGCATAAAGGATACCCCATGGATGCTAGCTTCTTCGTTCGCGCGAATCGTCTTTATCTCGTGGTGGCTAATAATTCTGGCAAATTTGCTGTGCCCTCTTTGTAAGTTCAAATAGCAAACCGTACCATCGAATAAATGTATTGCATAGGAAAGAAATTTTCTGCACAGAATATATCACTGGAGAGGCACGTACATGGACGTAGAGGTGGAAGTAATAACCATTGCCGCGGTATCGGTCACCACGTTCAAGCACAAGCAATCGACGATCTTAGTATTCGCACAGAACGACATGACTGTACCCGATATTGGTTCCATGGTGTACAAATTTAAAGAAATCAGCCTCGATAGAATACAATTCTTGTCGACTTTAAATCCAGTCTCTGTTCATCATTATAATCATGCTGGTTTCGATTTCATTTTCTTCATGAATAGACGTAGTCCAAGTAGCTTGTTCTGGTGGGACGGTTCGTTTTTTAATTATTCTTTTGTTCGTTATTGCTGATCTTCATTACCTACCGAAGTTATTCTTTCAGGACACGAACTGTTGAACTGGGAGCAAATACTGGAAATCAAGGCATCCAGTTTGTTCCATGTTTTGAACATCAAAGATGATACTTTCTTTTTCGTTGGTCATAATGTAAGGATACATTTTTCAATCAATCGTAGCATTTTATTCTTCAATTATTAATTCCATTTCAGAACACGTTACAATTATACAAATTTGAAAATGCATCGGATCGCAATCTGCTGAGCTCCATGAAGCTACCCAATGAAAGAAAAATCATCGACGTACAAATTCAAGCGAAGAAATCCACGATAACCATGATGCTGGTCATCATGAATGAAGATAACACTTATATCATAGAATCATGGGAGTTACGCGTTGAAGAAATTCCTTCAGGTTCAATTATCCTATTTAAAATGAATCAATTATTCCATCGCCTATAACTTTGGAAATTATTTTCAGATTATTCGATAAAGGAGAGCGACATACTGTCGGAACATTTGGCAGAGTTGGTTGAAACATTGCAACAAAGAACGTTGCTTATAGAAAAAGCTGAATCCTCCTGGCCTTCTTTATTTCCAGCGGACAAAAATTTAACAATAACAGAACCACTGATCTTACCATCATTGAAGCTTGATTTTGGAACTGTAGAAAACATCGACGTCTTCGCTGCAGAAGATGTAATTACACCTGATGAACTTCGGAAAAAATTAGATGTTCTTATTCACGATGTTAATGATACTTTAGCAGCATCGAAAAATCTTTTGATATCAAATAACACGAATCTGTTAAACGGAGACATCCTCATCGATGGTGATGCATTTATTGAATCGCTGCAAATTGATAAGATGAATGTAGATTATTTAAACGGTATTGATATGAATTCTAAGGATATCGTTAATTCGAATAAAACTCAGGAATCTTTGCGCGGAAAGAATATCGTTGTAGATAACGTCGAAATTGACAGTATTTGCGGGATTCCATTTCAATGTACGTTTCACGTAATTTTGAACCCTTTCGCTGCTACGCGAATTTTTGAACTTGCACCAGTGGGCCACAAATTTCGTATTACAAATTTTACAATGGCAAAGAACTGCGAAATGTATTAAAATAACGGTACAATCTTGCCAATAACATATTTTTCTTAGTGGCCAAATGGCCCAAATGAAAAGCCAAGTCCCATGGGACCACCGTGGCAGCGAAAGGGTTAAATGAATCTTGGTGTAGAAATATTATATTGAATATATATGAGATTATTTTAGATTGGGCATTAAATGATGACACGTCGAGAACGGTGGTAAATAGAGCACCGAATAACATTGAATTTTCAAATGATACAATATTCTTATATTCGAACGTCTCAATGGAAAGCTTGAACTTAAAAACATTGAATGATATTGATATCGATGAATTTTTCAGCGAGTTATTTGTTATTAATAAAAATCAGAAGATCAAAGGTAGATTTTCTAAACTTGTATACCTTTGCCCCTGTTTAATTCAGGTGAATTGTTTTAAATAAAATCTTTCAGGGAATGTTATCTACAACGATGTGTTACAAATTCAGAATCTTACGATGGAAACGTTGAATGGAGAACCATTTGAGAATTACATGACTACAAGCACCGATCAAAATTTCGATTCTTTCATAATAAAATCGCTGAAGGTCGACGATTTGTACGCGGATTCGATAAACGACGTTCCAGTTTCAGAAGCAGCTCGAATTTCCACCGAAGCTGTAATCAAAGGTATATCAAATTCTTGAATAGAAAAATTACATAGAATTGTTCGTGAAAATAAAAAGAGATCAAGATTGTAATTGTAATTATATTAATTATCCAACGATAAATTGTTGTCTCACAGGTGCAGTGAAAATTGCGAGGCTACATGTCACCGACAAACTGACCGCAGATTTACCCTTTGAATTAACAAAATCTCAGCCACATCAAATTTATTCCAACGTTACCGTTTATGGTAACGTGAACATTGGAACTCTGGACATGGACAAATATGCAGTAATATTTTTAAACAACGAAAAATTAAACCTGAACAATATCTTCGAAACATTCTGGACGAAATCAACCGATCAAACCTTTGAAAACAGCGTCACATTTGAGAATAATTTGATCATCGATCGTTTGCAAACCAAGTATTTGAATGGATTCTTAGAGAATGAATTTTTCTACACGAATGCAACAACCATTCCAGAGAGTTTCAAGAGTCTACATTTTGAAAATGTTTATATAGACGACATGTTCTTCACAAAAGAAGAAAATAACAGCTTCTTTGATATTGCCCCTGAATCACTGACTATTCAGGATAAATTATATCTGAAACACTTGCATACAAATCAGCTGTTCACTCAAGTTTACAATAATCTTTCTGTAACTGATATAATGAACGGGAAACCGTCTGTGTTTCCGGAAAACATGCATTTTTCTACCGTCCGAGCGAAACGGGTCAACATACTACAGGGGCTTGAGTTACTTTTTCTCAACGACACGGACACTGTTACCTTCTTAGGAGGTGCAAGGAGCTCTGAGGAAGATCAGAAAGAAAAATTTATAAAGACACTGGAATTTCATGTTGAAAATCTTAACGTTGATAGAATTAACGATATTGATATGAAGAAACTTTTGTCATTGAAGAACATGAAGATTTCTGATTTAAGAAACTTGATAATAGATGGTGATCTTACGGTGAAAGGTGATTTAAAAATTGATCGAATATACAACGAATCAGCAGCAACTTATCTGCGAAACATGGTTACAAAAGATATCGTGTTTTATAGAAATTTAACACTCGATGAGTTGATTGTGCAGAATGCTACATTGGAATTTTTGCACGGTAACAATTTAAATAATCTTTTCGATGATATTCTGTTAAAATCCAGAAAACAAGTTGTACCTGGGAAATTCTCTTTCTACAAGATCGCTACGAAGAATATTGATAGTAAATTTATTAATGATAAAGACACTTCTGAATTGAAGTGGATCGACGATCCTTTGTTTCTAGTAGGAAACGTCACATTTGAAAATTTGTTCGTAGAAGGAGACGTTGTGACGAAGATATTAAATGGTCGTGATGTTAATGAGGTAACGTTTTAAAATAACGTGAAGCAATACAGGGTGAGTCAGATAAAGTGTTACAAACTATTATCCTGGAAACTTTCGTTTAATTTATAAAAAAAAATTAGGGCTGCTATAGTTTCCGAGATAATAATTTGTAACAGTTTGTCTGATTCACCCTGTATACTAATATAGTACCACTAAATTTTTCTAATTATAAATATATTGTTTCAGCTGTACAACAACCTGTTGAACCTATCAGTTCTAAACATCAACAACTTGCAAGTATATGGAAATATTACTTGGAGCAACTCGTCCATGAACCCTTCTTCTTTGACGTTCTTCTTGAAAAATGCAATGACTAAAACTTCTAATCAATCTATATTAGGAGATATCGTTTTCGAAAACGATGTGTCAGTGTCAAAAGTAAAAGGAGAGTATAAAGCATTCGATGAAATACGCGACATCGTGGCAGACACAGTGATAGATGATGGAGAGATTATTCGAGTAGCTGGACAGAAGATTTTTAAACAGAACCTTATTACCGATAGTTTACTGGTAACAGATGACGTCAGTATTCCCATGATTAACAACATCAGTATTTTGAAATTTAATAATTCTGTGGTGAGGAAGGATCAGAATGAAACGATAACCATGCCCATAAATTTTCTTCATGAGGTCGCGATTAAAGAAGTACTTGCTAATGACACAAAGGTTCATGATGCACCTTTGGAAGGATTAGTCTTAGCGACGGATATGTTACCCAAGGTTACGTTCAAAAATCTTGTTGTACTTAAGGATGTATATTTGAAGAATCTAGATGGAGTATATTTTGATAAATTCATGAAGAATCGTATAACTACCGATGGAGATCATGACATATTTGTTGATGTGCAGTTTAATAGCATCGTTGAAATAACTGGTATCTACAAATTACAAATTGCAAGCTGTATGCAACCATCTTTGCACTGCTATAAAATGTAATGCTACCTCTACACGTTGGACCAACTAGGTCTTACAAATCAATGATCATGGCAAAAATTGGTCTTAAAAAACGAGCACATTGGCCCAACGTATAGAGGTAGCATAAAATATAATATATTTAAATCTAATTTATAAATCTTAGGAAATACAAATGTGACGCGAATAAACGGAATAGATCCTTCCAACCTGGTCCTCGATGGAATGGAGGAAGCACAACTTATATCCAATTCAAAAATCTTTGAGGAAGATGTCGTGGTGCATGGTAACATTTATACAGAATCTATCAATAATGTGGATATATCCTTGGCTTATTCGAATGGCATACAAACCGACGAAGACGTTGAAATAACTGGAGATTTAGTAAGACAATTTTTCTCTTTTTTAAATTAAATAGAATCTCTGGTATAAATTATCCAAATTTTCAGATTTTAAAGTCCCCTGTTAAGGTTCCACAAAACGTATTCGTTTCAAAATTAATAAACGGGATTAATTTATATACCGTTCTCGATGACGTGGAAGAAGACAGCCGGAAAAGCTTGCAAATGTTCACGCGAAATGAAACCATAAGGGAAGAGAGCATTCGAGACTCTACACTGATTACTTCAACTCTGAGAAACATTTTCTCGTACATAGAGGAAGAGGAACAGTTGAAAATTCAAGTGCCAAATATTAAGAAAATTGACGTTATTAATTACGAAGAAATAACGAAAATTAATATGTTCGGAGAGAAAGAAGGATCCGCCTGTGGACTCCCTGACGATTGCCCCTGTCCCACGGAATACATAGCTGAACTTACTAAAGAAGACTGTCGTATTCGAAAAATGAATGGTACTAGAATTGTACGAAATTACCACGAACGGAATAACATATTTGGTGTAAACATAATAACGAATGTAATATCAAGTAGTCGAGAATGTGTTTCAAACAGAAGCGAGGATGAATTCGTCACGATTTCATGGATGAAGTCTGGCTTGGTTGAAACGGGAGATGTCGTAGCTAAGATTACAGAAATATCTCCTCAGATTCATGGACTGATAAAGGATGCAGAGGTTTTCATGGCACACGATAGTATGTAAATGAAATTTCACTCTAATTTTAATGGAAACGACGAATTTCAAGAAAATGGTTTATCAAATGTTTATTAATTTTAGATACAGCTTTTGTAGTGCTAGCAATCTATTATAATACCTTGCTCGCCACGCATCGTACAAATTCCCTGATCTATAAAATTGATTTCGAGAAGAATCTTCTGTTATTGCATCAAGAACTATACACTGATGGTGCCTGGGCTATTGAAATTTTTCGAATAGATCATCATACGTATGTACTTTTGGGTTGCTTTGGGGATTCTGAAACATCTGTTCTATATAAATTAGACGCACCTACTTACGAAGTAATTTTCTTTCTAATTAAGTATATATTAAAAAAATATATGTCAATAGTAACATACATATTATCTTTTAGTTTATAATGGTGAGAGCATTCGGAGGTAAAACACGCAATGTAAAAAGTCTACATCAAGAAAAGGATCACTTCATTCTATTGGACGAATACGATACGAATGCGTTAAACATATTTCACTATGATTCAGAATTTGATAACTTTTACGATTATCAAAGTCTCTTTCACGATTCGCGGGTTGAAGGAATAGAATGTTTCTACTCGGATGGTAAGAATAACTGAGTCGATATTACAGTAAACTAGCAACTTTGATAAGTTATTAAAAAAAATATTAATAAGTTATTAAATTTGTTTTCTTTTTAGAATATGGTCAAAGTGATTCTTTCGTTATCGTCACAACAGAAAACGATCAGTTATATATTTACGAGTACATGTTTGCTCAAAAGTTTCAAATGAAAGTATATCATCAAATAGATGATTTACAAACGATGGTACCGTTTGATTATTTAGGAAATTATTATGTTTTTGCTGGTACAAGTAAAAACAGCACTATATTGAGAATTATACAACAGGGACCGCATTAAAATTCCAATAAGATATATTTATCTGTTCATCAGATAAGGCATATTCTACTTTTCTGTTAGGAATTAGTATTTGTTGTTACAAGATGGATCAACTCATATTTTATTTATTCGTTTTTTATTGCACATACAAAAAGAAAATGACTTTCTCTCGATCGAATGTTTATTTGTAAAGCAATATAATACATACATATATTATGCATAAAATCGTACAAATCAAGTTGAAACGTATGTATTGATACTATAAAACTGTACTCAGAAAGTGAATCATTAATTATTATATTTATTGCATTCAAGTTATAACTAATAAATAATAGTTCCATAAATAAAGTTACACCGATTTGAACGATTCTATTTAGTATCGGGTAAATTGCGTCAGCGCAGTTCCGATGGAACGATTGCAGTTTAATTTGTTCATTATTCCGAAGAAAATTCAAGAAACGAATAGATGATATAAAATTATCACGTAAAAATATCGGTAATTAAATCTTGTGATTGCAAGTATTTTGAGGTGTGCGTAATATATCGTTGTATTAAATCTGTATAGCCGAGAATACACGAAGCTCGAAGGTTTTACTTCTTCACGAAGTGGACAGAAGTGGAAGCCATTGAAATACACTGAATCCTCCGTCATTATTACACGGCACTACATAAAAGTTTCAAGGTATAATCAATCACGAAAAGCGTCTTTTTTTACACGAAATCATTACAGTCGTGACCAACGTGGAGATTTAAAATAAAACTGTCAGTGTATCATTCTGTGTAGTTGAACAGTTTCTGTTCTTCTTGAATTATTTACGAGAGATATTTTATTTAATATATACTTGTGTATAGTTTAAGATATTCAATATAACCTGGGTATTGAAACATTTTTGTCGATTTAAAACAATTCAAATGTAGTTGATAAAGTTTATTCACTCCTTGTTTCATCCGGCATGTTTTGTTGGTTATGTCAGTTTATGGTGAATTGGCGTAATGAAAGATTTCATCATTTATGAACACAATCTTCATCGTGTTATTAAAAATTCTTTCATTATAATAACTATCATTTTTATATTGTAATTAATGCGTTTTATTATCTAAAAGAATTATGATCAAAATTCCATTTTGAGGTTATGACACGTATAAAAAAAATTTGTGTTACTGAACATTATTAAAATCTGTATTTATGTAAATTTCATACTTATAATGGTATTAATTAATAATCTATCTCATTTGCAGAGACATTGCGACTCTTTTAAGACAGTGATGGCTGTCAAAGGGCTAGTTGCAGCAATTGTTCAGTTTTTAACCCAGCAGTTAAAGGATGGTGATATTACAGCAGATTCTCGGGAGAGTCTTGAAGTGGCAATACAGTGTTTAGAGAGTGCTTATAATGTCCAAGCATCTGATGCTCCCGGAAATTTGAATTTATACGAAGTATATAAGTCTGCTATAGAAAATGCGAAACCTCAGGTTCCAGAAGCTACTCCTGAAGCAAAAGCTGAAGCTGAGAGATTAAAGAATGAAGGAAATGCTCTCATGAAAGCTGAAAAACACCATGAAGCACTTGCTAATTATACAAAGTATATATTTTATATTTAATTGTAAGATATATATGATTATAATTTACTGATGTAATTTTTCTAGAGCTATTCAATTAGATGGCCGTAATGCTGTATATTATTGTAACCGTGCTGCAGCATATAGTAAAATTGGCAATCACCAGCAAGCAATTAAAGATTGTCATAATGCACTGTCTATTGATCCTTTTTACAGTAAAGCATATGGTCGATTAGGTTTAGCATACTCTAGCTTGGACAGACATAAAGAAGCTAAAGAAAGCTATCAAAAAGCTTTGAACATGGAACCTGATAATGAAAGCTATAAAAATAATTTACAAGTAGCAGAAGAAAAACTGGCTCAGCAAGGCATGAGCAATATGGGATTGGGTGGAGGTGTGTTTCCAGGTATGGATTTTAGTTCGCTTTTGAGTAATCCTGCTCTTATGAATATAGTACGTCAAATGTTGTCTGATCAAGCCCTTCAAAACATGGTGGGCAATTTCATAAGCGAGAATGCAGAGCAAGGAGTGCGCATGGATGCCCTTTTGGAAGCGTGAGTATTGTTTATAATCCATAAAATTCTGCTACGTAATAATATATGAACATATATTTAAAAATTTTGTAGTGGTCATCAATTTGCACATCAGTTGCAAAATACTAACCCCGAGTTGATCGAATCTTTAAGACGGCAAATGGGAGGCAATCCGAATGACCCTGATCCACCACAGCAAAATTAAACAATCTGTGATTGAGTAATGTTATCAAAATTTGAAAAAAAAAAGTGAAACAATTGAAATACAACTTTAATTCAAATATACAATAGTTATGGGACAGTGTTTACCGCTTTTTTTTATAACTGTGACTCAAATTAATTTGAAGTATCACTGTCTTAAAATTATATTCATATATAAATATATAAACTATAGAAATTTTCCTATAATTTAATTATGAAATAAGATATATAACAACTTGTTCTTTTGACTATGTTGGCATTATTTGATATGCGAAAATCAAGTGATAAATATCAGAACATGGGGAATATTTTGCGAATAGAATATTTGAATGTATATTTACTGCTGTTGCTTATGTCATCAATCTATTTCACTCCCTATTGAGTTGTACAGTCTAACATGCATCTGCTTACTTTAACAATTATTTCTGTATGATAAAATATATGCTAAAATCATGTATTGAAAAATCAAGAAATTAAAGAAAGACTTGCGTTTTTTATCAAATACTTTAATATATTTTATAATATATAGATATTTGATTTTTTAAATTAGTTATAAAAATTTATGAAAACCAGAATATACTTAAATACTTGTTATATTATTTGTATGATGGAATATGTATACAATTAAAAAAAGAAATGTTTTACACAACAAATTAACTCGTTACAAATTTGTAAAATTTTGGGACTTATGTTATTTGCTTTATAAATGAAAATACATCAATCTGGCGTGAGTAAAACAATATTATTTTTATTTGGCACGTACGAAGCGTACGTATAAATACATATTGTTATATTTAATACTACAATTTATTTTATATGTATATACATAATAACAATATCATACTCCTTGTTTTGTCGACTAAATTAAATTTTTTAGTGTTTACAATTAGTGTATAATGGGCTCAACCGTAGGAGTGTTGGCTACGAACAAACCACTGAGCATTAATAATTCTTAACGTTTTTTATTAATAATTCAAAAATTAAGTCTTAATAAGCATTTTGGTAAAGGAGAAAGTTGTTTAAAATCACCTCAGCTACCACCCTCTCAAAGAATTTTACCTGTAGCCAAACACCTGTACAGTATATTTATAACAAACTATATACATATCTACAATTTGTTGTATTTACATTTTTCAAACCGGAAGGTATTGTTTATGTTATCAACAAAGAGATAATTACGATGACAGTTGAGAAAATTTCGAATATTTTTCATTAAAAAATGAGTAGTTTTTCGTTCGTTTCGCGGTCACGATTAATATTACGATTTCCTCGTACTACATACCGGGGGTATTAAGAGACGAAGCTGCGATGCAGCATTATTTACATATTTTTCAACCCTTTTCGTCATCCACCCACAAATACATTTGAGCAACATGATGCGTGCGCAAAGTCCCTCCACAGGTTTGTGACGTGCGCGGGTGGCGCATGATTCGCCGGTTTCAGAGTACCACTCAGGAATGTATCGTTCAATGGTAAATGAATTAAAATTATTCCTTTCTTAAAAAAACGTCAATACAGTAAAATTATTTCTTTCGATGATTAAAAGTTCAATATAGTTCTACCAATATCAATTAACGAAATGATGTACTAATGTCCAGCTGTATTTCCATTTCTTTTGATATTCAGTTTTACACATTCATGATCTTTTTTTATATAATGTATAAATTTTATGTCATATATACTATTCGACGATTACAATTAATATAAAGCAATAAAAGGAATGGAAAATGTATTGAAAAATTGAAACTATTTGATACATTTGTAAGGGAGTTTCCAAAGTATTGCTACGATCCTGAGTGTAATGCTCCCCCCCCCCCTCCCCCCACTAATCGATTGTCGCACACTCAACAGATTGAGGTGTGGCCATCGAGGGCAGCCATCTTCTTGACTTTCTGTTGCTTAACATTTCAGGTAAATACGCAATTATTTCTTAAGTAATACTGGTTGGAGTGGTGCGAGGGTGTGCTGTGATGTGTGCCGGGGTTGTTTAAGCGTGCCGTATATCGGTTTGTTAACGGCGGAACCGGGAACTCTGTGTGTCAAGGAGGGAAAAAAAGCTCTCCTCCTCCCGTGATAGAGAGAGGGCCGAAGGAGTGCCATGCGTTACGAATCTACAATATCTTCGCATGACGACCGTTTAGTTCAACATACAAGAAGCCACAAGCGGTCTGCTGCGGCTGAATCCTATCACTGATTTGGGACTGTTCGTACAAGTTCAAATACAAGTTGGGTTTTAGTTCAGTATGTAAATCGTCCCCCAGACTTTAGACCCCTGCGTCGCTATCCTGTCGCACCCCTAGCGCCCCCCACAGGCTATCCCTCTCAGGCTCTCCCCCCCCGCACTCTTACTCCGTTACGCGGCAATGCACTTCCGGCTGTGCAAAATTCGGCAAAAAGGTTCGGCTCTCTATCTGGAAACCTAAGCAAAAATCTGTGTCACGGCTTCTGTCTTGACATTCCTTCGTTGCCGTTTGCCCCGCTAATCGACGTCTCGGATCTGCGATAAACAAAAGGTCGGTACGTTTAATACCGTAAAATTTCGAGTTTCCATCCATCCGACAAGTATTCCCGTATTTTTTACTTGCGCTTTCGTTTTTCACCTAACGGGGTGATTTCATCGGAATTTCCGTTCGCTAATAAAAATACCAAACAAACATACGTCGATTTTCGGTTAACAATTGACCTCTGTATACTTAGAATATATGTGGAGATTTTAACATTTCAAATAGGTATTCATTTATTTTTAATTTGAATCAGTTTTCGATAATGTAATTTTGTAAGATAATAAGGTAAAATATTGTATTCCTGTACGATCAGTACTTTTTGCAGGAATTATATTGTCACAATGTTAACACGTAACTCTCCTCACTTAACTGAAACGTACAGTCTATTTCTTTCATTTGCAATGCTTTCGCATATTAGAAAATATTTGATGCTAACATTCTTGCTTTTGCGCAGTCTTACAAGTGCTTTTAATTTCTTTTGTACAAGATAATAAATAAATTATTTATGCTTTTGGATTATATAAAAATTTCTAAGCTAAACTTGCTTTATACGTTGATAGTTATTATCTGTGTATAATATAAGTACCTAAATGACTAATAAATAACCAAACTTAGATAAATAAGGTATTATTTTAAAGCTCTAATGCCAGCATATCTTATGATGTATATTTTTGGTGTTATATATATCATACATAATCATATATACTATAAAGTATTTCACCTATAATAGTAATTTTATAGAGCATCTTATTCATGAACATTATGGATGTACTACCCGTTGTCTATTTAATTTCTGTTTTCCAAATATCATTTTTTGATGGATACACATGTTTCTTAATAGTGCATGTTTAATACAAACAACTATCAATCTTATATGTTTATGCATGTTTTTTGGAGACATCATTGTTTTGTTCCAAGGCATAAGGTATAGTCTCCCATATAAATTTTAAAATATTACCAAAAGAGTTAATATACCAATATGTGAGTATACCTCTTGATCTAAATAGATTTGTTTAAATATATTCTAACAACTTCAAAATATATCTTTCTCTACTGTTAAAAGATACAAACCATTTTTTTTTCTTTTGTTTTTAATGTAGAATTATTAAATAAAGGCTTTACCTTATGCCCTTGAAAAATTCTTAAAACTTTGATTTTAATGCGTACATGAAGTTATTACGATAACACTATGATAACATTAAATCCATATTATGTTTAGTCTTCAATTTTGCAAAGTCTTGTAGTATACGTATTTTCAAATATCGGAAGGAAAGAGTTATGAATCAAAATTACAAATACGTCGTATATAAATGATCATAGATTGTATTAATACTTTTACAGATGTTATAAGTACTATAACTATAATAGAAACGAGATACATGCATATCTTATACTTATATCTGTGCGGTACATGCAATTATCTCGCAACCTTCTATCCATTCTAACATGTAAAATGTCCACTTATAAACAGAGAAGCCGAAAGAAAGACTAAAAACATGGGATGCAATACGGGCCGATGCCTCGGTCCAGACGATACGGGGTACCCTGGATCAGGTACGACCCAATCAATATCCTTTAAATCTTCAGCCCTCGTAGGTCGCTTTCTAAATAGTACTGAAGTAGACATCAGTTCATAGAAAAAGAAAAATTTTTTACCTATCCACTATATATAAGTAGTTAGCAGTAATGAAATTAGACACAATTTTTAGTAAAGTTAAGTAAACATGAGGGCTCTAAGAAGTGTATGTTGCTATACATATATGTAATGCTAGTACCAATTTAGTACTATGTTTAAAAATAAATCAGTGCAGTATTTTTAGGTAATAAATCTTCATATCCTACGAGGTTTGAATTCGAGTCATTGTTTATGGCATTATCAGAAAGCAAATCTAATTGAACAGTTTCAAAAGATTACCCTGACTTCTTCTTAACTCTATCCTGAAGAATGCTTTTTCTCTGTCTTTTTCATTGTTTCATTTCTATTTCCACATTTGCACCCAGTTTTATCCATTTAAAATTGCTTTTTTACTCATTTATGCCTCTTATCAGGTTGCAGGAAAAGTAGTTTCATTTAACAGTGATATTGATTCCATCTTTTTAACATTCCTTGTTTTTTTTCTCATTTAGTTGTTTGACTATCTTATGTGTATTACATGCTCATTCATTGCATGCTCTTAATTAAACTAATTTTAAATGGTGTTTTCCAAAAAATGTTATTTCAGTTGATTTATATCTGTATTTGAACAGTTTTTCAAGATGCTATTTGCATCTATGCGCTGCATGAAAATGCAGTTTAGAAATCTTTAATATGCAAAGTATGAGTTTCACATTAGTATTTATGGTTTAAGATGTATATGTACATACACAAGTGTATACGTACATAGGATAAAAATATTAGATATTAGACGCGCATTTTTTATTATTTTACTCATATGTTACATGTAAAAGTTGGGTACATATACTTTGTACATATTGATCTAGCCATCATTGGCAAGAAATATAGAAATGATCAAAATTTTATAAACTTAATTTAGTGTAAATAAATTATTTTTAAATAGGTAAGTTATTGTGAGAGTATTAAAACAGATAATCAGTAATTTATACGAATTTGTTGAAATATCTACAAATTTATAAATTACACAAATTAAAATTGATGACTAATTTATAACAATTGTGTATTTCTTGCTTTTGCATATATATATTGTATGTTTTAAATATTAAAACGATATGCATACAGTTACATATTCAAGTGATAGAAAATACAATAATAATAATTAAGAATATAATTATTTATATTTTAGAATTCATGGCAGCCATTAGGAAGAAATTGGTTATCGTGGGTGATGGTGCTTGTGGTAAAACATGCTTACTCATAGTCTTCAGCAAAGACCAATTTCCTGAAGTGTATGTACCTACGGTATTTGAAAATTATGTTGCGGACATCGAGGTCGATGGGAAGCAGGTATGTTTTAAAAAAGAAAACAAAAAAGTTGTTTCAATATATTGTATTAAATATTAATCAATATAATACATTTTGTAACAGGTGGAATTGGCTCTTTGGGACACAGCTGGACAAGAAGATTACGATAGGTTGCGTCCGCTGTCGTATCCTGACACAGACGTAATTCTAATGTGCTTCTCCATCGACAGTCCCGATTCCTTGGAGAACATTCCCGAGAAGTGGACACCGGAGGTGAAGCACTTTTGCCCAAATGTGCCCATTATCCTTGTTGGAAACAAAAAAGACTTGCGCAATGATCCTAATACTATCAAGGAACTTAGCAAGATGAAACAAGAACCAGTAAAACCAGAAGAAGGTAGAGCTATGGCTGAAAAAATCAACGCGTTTGCTTATCTTGAATGTTCCGCTAAGAGTAAGGAGGGTATTAGGGAAGTATTTGAAACAGCCACCCGGGCAGCACTACAAGTAAGTATTGTTCAATACAGGTTTCACTATTATTAAAATAAAACCAGCCAAACGTTATTATAAAAATTATGTGAGTTTGTAGGTAAAAAAGAAGAAGAAGGGAAGATGTTGGCTCTTATAATTCGTGAAATTGTTATACTGGAGGCCCCCAGCGAAAACCATAATATAATAACAACTTATCCTGAATTATTTTACATAATAAAACAAATCTATGAAAAAGTAAAACACAAAATGCGCCCGCAATATATATACTGTCATCGATGAAACTGGAGACTTAAAAAAAAAAAAAGGAAACGTTGACTAAATTCAATACAAGTATATGTGCTATATATGTGAAACCATAATGTATATTGTAATGACTTCTTGATTGTATTTTTTAATGGTAATGAATTGTGCTTCGAGTTTAAAGAATTAAACAATTGTCATACCAACTATTTACGTTTACAGTACATAATTATCTATATCGTTGTAGCAATTATTACTATTATTATTAGTATCTCATTACTATGATATGCATTCTACATCTCTTGTTTTCTTTTTTTTTCTTTTAAATCGTAGTAGCTGTTTATTTTTGATAAAAGTGAAACATGGAAGGAAGGGATGAACGAAGTTGGGGGAATTCGTAACAAAATATAAAGAGAAAAAAAAGGGGGAAATAGAAACGTAGTATGCAATGCAAAGTCATAGAAAGCAATGTAAGAATTTAAAGCAAAACGTTAAGAATTCCAAATGTTGCGTCGCTATTTTATCGAACCATCGCATTATCTATATTTCTTAAACAAACAAAAATAAAGAAGTAACAAATGTTACATTATATTATAAAAATTGCGTAAGTAGACAGATGAGCGGATCACTTTGATCTTTAAGATACCAACTAGGCTAAATGTATTATTATTATTAATTATTATTATTAATTATTTTTATTATTATATTATTGTAATACGATGACACTAACATTACGGATTGTAACAGCGGCTATATTATATTTATGTATTTCGACTACACGTCCCTTGTATCCAATCAAGCACACGAAAAATCTCCTGGTTTGCGTTTCGTTGTGCGATGATTCTTTAAATTGTCCAATGTGATCAATTATAATCAGGGAATGTTTAATAACTATCAATGTAGGGTGAACAAATTTCACAGAAAAAGTTCATTTTCATAGTGAATGCGTGATTTTACACGATGTTTTTCAAAATACTATTTCAATTTTTTAAAGTAATATGCGTTGTTCAAGAACATCGATCAATTTACGAATTTCAAGTTAACTTTTGTAAAATGATTATCAATCCCGTTGAATCATCCTATATTTTTCCTTCCTTTTGTTTCTCTTCATTTGTATACATACTATTTCTAAACTTTTAAATCTTACGCGTCTTCTATTAAAACTAATCTTATAATGTTCATAAGGTAGTTGTTTTTTGCAAGAACTATTGAATTAACGACTGCAATGCAGTCTTGGCCATTGATTTAATGAATGACTGTGGAATTGTGTTCAACAAACTTTTTTTAACGATTAGCAGTACTACTGTTCAATTACGCTTTTAAACCGAAGCTCCATAAAGTTGCAACCAAATTTTGCAACGGTTTCAATCATCATTTATCAAGAATTTAATGATGGACATTCTATTGTAAAAAAAAAACACTTTCATTATAATTCTATAAGGATACATACATATGTTGTTGAAATTTGTCAAATAAATAAAAAGTAGGAGATTTTGAGATCTAAATATATCACTTGCGAATCAAGATCCGTTGCAAAGTTTGCCCTTTTTTTATAATAATTTCTGAAGGATGTACTGTTAATTATGACTATATCAGTTAATCCTTTATGGACTATCTCCCAAATGCTGCAATAAGTACCATCGTGTTTTCAAGATAAAATAAATTACTAAAAAATTTGTACAAACACAACCGCAGTTTTTTATAAGTATATGCTATGAATCATAAGAGAATTATTAAATAAAATCTACCTGATCTTGATCCTCGTCAAATCAGATATCATTGTACAAAAGTCTTTAAGACTGAGTTTTATGCTTTAATGAACAAAAAAATGTGTAATCTAAAAACACACTTTTTTTTACAAAAAAAAAATATATATATTGTTAGAAGCACAAAATTATAAGATAAGAGTAAAATTATAATGTTATACATCTGACGAAGATCAGGATGGTAATTGTTTTTGTACTCATTATTGTGTACAATATAAAAAAAAAAGAGTAAACGATAAAAAAAAAGATTTTGTTGTTTTACTAGTACATACTTGGTCCATATAGGATTAATCAATTTGAAGTGTTACTTCCAAGAGTAAAATTTAAATAATTTATGTACAATACTTTGTCAGTAATACCGAAGTGAAGAAAACTTTTTATAGTCATGAAAACCAATTCGACTGCATTTTTTGAGTTTTAGAAAAATCACTCTATAATTAGCTTTAATATGTAAGGTATTTACCCCCCCATGATAGCTATAACAATAAATTGTAATTAACAATAAAAAGCTACTTATCAGCATTTGTGAACTGTTACTCCTAGAACGGTTCAATATGTATAAATTCAAACATTATTATGTGAAAATTTATTATATCATTTATTAAAATACTTTGTTATATCTATTACTAAAATGTCAATATTTTCAGAAATTCGCATATTGGGAAGTGTTATCGGTGTATCATTATTTTAATAAAAATTATTTGTTACAGGGAAAAATTTTTATACAAAACAATTTATTACACTTTTGGTACAAACAAAGCAAGAATATATTGACTTTAAATCTATGACGGTCAATCATGGAAAATGGAATGAAGAATTCAAGCTTAAATGTAATTCACTAAATCTGGAAAACATTACCACGATAATTCTAAATCAGGTCTGTATAGTTTACACGATTTACAATATTATAAACGTTACATAATACACGTAAATCACCTTATGCTAATTATGTTTCACTTTTAAATGCTCTGTAAAATAAATGCGCAGCACGAGTTAATGATCTTTAATCCCTTTGTTATACTTGTATGTCATACAAGAAATATTTAACTCCAAAATTTCGCTGCTGATGTATATAAAAATGTGATGAACAATCTTGCATTTATTATGAAAGAAATTTACAATTCGTCGCTCTTTGGCTTAACAGGTTTGCCTTTGCGATCGAATCCTTTAAGCTCATCAGTTGCATGCTTGGCAATGTATTTGATGAAGTCATCAATCGTTCTGCCACCTTCGTATTTAACAGGATTATCCTTGGCATTTTTAGGTGCCCAATAAAGTGTTGGGAATCCTCGAACTTCATATGGTGCGGGAACATCGTTAGCTGTAGCATCGAATTTTACAATTTCGACATCTTCATCCGCTAATTTCTCACCCAATTTATCGTAATCCGGTGCTAATTTCTTGCAATGACCGCACCAAGGTGCATAGAACTCAATCAGTGTGTCTTTACCATTGTTTGTAATAACTTCATCGAAGTTGCGAGCTACTGCAACCTTAACGTGTCCACTATTGTCTTCAGGAATTGGTTCCGATTTTAAATACGATTCTAAAGCTTCCGCTTCCAGATCTTTCAAAAACGTTTCAAATGCATCTACCGAAAATTCATCTTTCATAACAAACTTCTGATTCTTTGCATTCCTTGCCAGAATAATAGGTTTATCGCCTTTTACAAAGTCAATTCCGAAATCATTGAGTTCGTGTTGGAAGTCGTCTTTGGAAGAAATAGCAAAGTTCAAGCTAGGGAAGTCTTTAGCGACTTTGATGATTCTGTTGCGCCAATAGTTTGTACCCTTGGGATTCTTCACATAATCCACAGCATAGTATGCAACAACTAGTGGATTCTTGAATTCTCCTGCATTGTCACGCGTACGAACACCCGCGATACCAAAGCTAAAACGAAAATTTATTAATTACAGCACTTATTGTTTCAATATTAATTTATCGATTTGTTTCAGAACTTACTAATTCGTGTTGATGAATTCTTGAATATCACTCATGGAATCTCCACCTTCATATTTCACAGTGCTTGCTTCAAATTTATTTTGCAATACTTTGGGTCGGTACAAGACAATGGTATTCCTGAAAATAAATAAAACAGTTTATTTTATGTTTAATATCATTCTTAGAATAATCTTGTGATAAAGATTAATTACTTGTATCCTTCCTTTTCCATGAGTGACTTTGAAGTTGTATGAGCAAATCTAACTTTTTCCTTAAGTTTTTTGGCCACAGCCTGGAAAGATTGTGCTAAAGGTGTATTTTCTTTTTCAAAGAAACCCACAACACCAACTTCATCGGAATCCAAAAATGATTTCAGACAACTTTCTCCAGTTAATTGTTTAGATGCAGGTCCAACTTGTGCCTAAGGTAGAGTTTATCATTAATATCATTCAATTATTTAAATTGTATATTACAAAAATCTCAAATACCTTCATGTATTTAGCAATGCCTGCAGCTTCTCTAGGTCCATTATAATCGCTAACAACATCACCTCTAGAGAAAATTTTTAACGTTGGATACCCGCTAACCGAGTATTTGTTACACGATTCCTTGCCACTTTCTGTACAATCTACCTTGGCAAGAGCAATTGGAGGATCATTACCCAAAAGTAACTCAGCAGCTTTGGCATATTCTGGTTTTAATCGTTTACAGTGACCACACCTGCAAGAATAATACAGTAATATTTTCAAATTATATTTCACAAATACTGGAAAGTAACCAAGTATTTCGAACAAATACTTTAGACACGTTTTTACTTGTTAACGTGTCACAAGCCGGTACGCGATATCCTCGATACCGGAACTTGAGGAATAGTTCCATATGATTATTTTCTTCATAATTGTAAAACATTATCGATACGATAACGAAGAAATACATTTATTAGTGATCTTAAAAATTGTTCATTATCTTAAAAAAAAACTTCTTACCATGGTGCGTAAAACATAACAAGCGTGTTCTCTAGCCGATCTAATTCATGGCTGAAAGTTTCATCCGTAAGCTCCAGGACGTCTTTTTCTTCAGCCAGAACAGTAACAAACAACAGGAAAAGAAAACTAAAATATTTCGGCAGCATCGTGGATCACCGTGCTTATTCCTAAAATCCAAAACCTATTCTTTTCTCTCTTTTCACCAAAGGAACACTGTCTGTCGAAGACGTGGCTCTTACAAGAAGTTAGCCAGGATAGCCGCGAAGTGCTGTCGTATTCTGATTGGTTACCTCTTCTTTTGTGTGTGTGAGTTATAC